ATAGTTATAGCGCGAGAACAAAACGACGACACAGAGACAAGAAGGACACGAAGGATACGAGCGCTAATTTCCAACTGAGTTTATTGCGCAGAGCACGAAAGTATATGGAGGAGACAGTTTTTTTGTTGTTGTTTTTGTCACATGGTTACTGTCTCCTCTATATATGTTCGTGCTCTGCGCTATAAACTCAGTTGGAAGTTAGCACTCGTGTCCTTCGTGTCCTTCTTGTCTCTGCGTCGCCATTCTGTTCTCGCGCTATAACTATCGTCATGTCATACCAACTAGCCCAAGCTGCCACACTTATAAGGTAAAACAGGCTGAGAATGATCATGATGATGATGATGGGTGGCAAACCACGCCGACTTAATTGAATAAGTGTACGCTTATTCAAATTCCGCCATGTGTCCACTACGAAGCCAGGTATAGTTCCAGAAGCGGAGTCTAAGCACGTTAACTTATGCACAAAATGTCCCCCCCCCCCCCCCCGCTTTTTTTTTTTTTAGATACTCTGCTTTCGAGTGCTTGTGCGACCGATCGCAAACATCGCGATCCAGCCACCGAGATGCCTAATCCGCGCAACGAGCTGGGCACACTGTGTACGCAGGAATGGATAGCCTCTCCTGCGGGACTATAATCGCGTCAGCACGCGCCTTCTGCGCCTCGAACGCGTTGGAGAGAGCTCCGGATCATGTGGAGCTTTGCTTTCGACGTCTGTGTGTACGTGCAGCACCGGTGGGTTTCCCCTTGCGGACGCGTTTGTCCGTCGACAAGGGCGAGGTGCGGCGGGGCGCTAAAACGCTTACGACGTCCCCCCCTTCTTTAACCCTCCGCCTCCTCCCGCAACCACAATGCGCCCTCTTCCTCTAATCCGCGCTCGACTTCCTACCGTCCCGCCGTTCAGGGAAACGCGCCGCGACGACCGCACAAAAGAGAACCGGAGCTGTGTGGTTTGTGTCGGGCGCGGGACGACAACTGTGCCTGCAACCTCGATGAGGGCCATTTGTCAGCGGGCTGTCACGCGCGATGAACTCGGGGAAACTCGCACAGAGAGACAGGTCTCTTGGGAGCCGCCTCGAAGAGCTGTTTGCGCTGGCTTTTTTTTTTTTTTTTACAAACCTGCCCGCTCTACAGCGCTCTCCAAGGAGCGCAGTTGGTTGTCCTCGGTTTAAGGAAATAAAAAAAAAAGCATAGAATGAGATGGAAAAGCGGGATTCGAACGCAGGACGCCTGCCTCTGTGCTGTGTGCATACGTATCTATATGTGGTCTATTCATATTCTAAACAGGCGCAGGGGATCGAAAAACGGGCCCGCAATCCACTTGAGCAACCGAGGCCTTTTTTTTTCGGCATAAGGGTACGCGAGGTCTTCCCGTCAAGTGGTACGCCGGTGGGGCCGCTTACAAGTGGACCGCTTCGTCATCATGACGTAACCACCAAGCTGTGGTGACGATGATGCATGCCGCGCCAACCCGCCACCGGCGGTGTCGTGACGCCCACTTGACCTTGTGTCGGGCGGGCCGCGCTCGTCAAGCGCGAAGTGTGTGTCTTGACGAGTCGTTTGGGTTGAGTCCTACGCCCAGCCACTTAACTCTCTGTGCACCAGTCTTACGCGCACAGCATTCGCGTATGTAAAGCAAATTTATATCTCGTCGCTTCTGGTCAGCGTTGTTTGTCATGCCCGTGTCACTTGACGAGCGCACCGTCATCCACGTCGCCTAATGTTGTTTTAAAGACAGGGCTCGGGTCTTCTTTGGCGCGCCTGTGCTGTCCCCGGTAGGTTTGTAATAATTGTTGGGGTTTTTGCCTACCAAAAACTACGATATGGCAAGTGAGTGGAGGACTGCGGAAGTTTGGACCATCTAGTGCATTCTAAAGAACACCGGTTGGCCCAGAACACCAGGTGCACCTAAATCTAAGTACACGGGCCTCTATGGCGTGTCGCCCATCGCTGAAAATGTGACCACCAAAGCCGGGACTCGGCCCCGCGACCTTCGAGTCAGCAGTGGAGCACTGTAACCACGAGATTCACCGTGACGGAGCTCCTGTGCCTTGTACGACAATTGCCGAATCGCAAGGTCCGACTCCTGCTATACTCTCTAGAAGAAAAGGCCGCAGCGCGAAAGGACCAAGCATGGCTTGAGAAAAGTGGACTGGCACTAAGTTTCAATTATGCGTTACTGTTTGTAGAATCTCCTCCTGCAACTGGCGTATTATGGAGAGGTGGACGGAACAAGCCTGACCGATGAGGTCATAGCGTTGAAAAGACGGGGTCGAAGAAAAACGACTATTGTCTCCATCTCTTCAGCACTATGTCTTCATCGAACGTAACGAACAAATAGCCCAAAAGCCTGTTCTCTTGGAAACGCATGGCTGAAACACCTCCCCTGTAGGGCATCCACCACGTATTAGATATCACTTCATTTTACAAGCTGCTCCCGAAATATCTGAAACCTTCCACGTTTAGAATCACAAGCGCTCAAGAAAGTTACGCAGAAACGAGTGGTTATGTTGCATAACTTCATGTTTATGCAGATTAACTTTCATGACCACATTGCTGGCCAGTAAAACCGACTTCAGAACTCGTAGGAGCACGCTACGTGGAATGCGGATATCTAGACCCTCAGAGCAGCGTATAGACGACCTGCACGCTGGTAAGGGACATTGTTTCCAGCCTCAAAGTTGAATCCGTCCCCCCCAAGAACAGAGCCAACTTGGACGTGGGCGCGTCTACCGTCCTCTTCGTTTTTAGATTTTCGAAACGTGCCCATCTCCAGCGATAAGCCAGTCGCGATCATGTCCCTGCATGCGCGCACGCTGTGTCCAAGAACAACGACCTGTACACCACTTCGCCACCCTCTCCTCCTCCCGCAGAATCGATACGAAACGATGTTCGCCGTGGGGTCCAGCTGATGGACGGAAGTCATACCGGGAGAGGAAGGCACGCGCAGTGGTAAAGTCCTTATTGTTTTCCGACGTTGATGATGGTTCACCGCAGGAACAGCATGCGCTGGGAAACGGGCTATCGCGCACCGGGCGCCCTATGCGCGGTAACGATACACGCCCGGTCACGATGCGCGCGGATATGCGGAGGGAATATGGCGATCAGGTTTCGTCCGGGCGAGCGGCGCAGGCGAGGCGCGGTCTCCTATGGCGAGCAAGTCGTTTCATCGTCTTCTTCGCCCCAGTGCCGTTTATATAGTTTCCGTTCACACGGACTTCTTTCTTTTCCATGGGACGGTCATCGAGAGAGAGAGAGAGAGGCCCGCTGAGCGCCAGATCCTGTGGTCTTCCCCGGCGAATGCCGATATGAGAATGGCGAGGTAGCAAACTTGTTCCATGCTTGCATGTCTCGACGCAACACGGCTTGATGACCAATGTCCAACTTCTCTCCGCCCCTTTTGTTTCCGGTAAAACATGTTGCTGTCTGCATGCCCGGACACGTACAGCACGTCGGCAAGTGTCCATTCAACTTCTTTCTTTCTGTCAGTTCAAGAACAATATTTGAAGTTTTACGTCCCAAAATCTCGGTATGATTATGGGGGACGCTCTCGCGGGGGGCTCCGAAAGTTTCGACCACTTGGGGTTGGGTTCCATAACATGAACCCATATCTTAATACAAGGGCCTAACGAGCATTTTCGCTTCCATAGAAAAGGCGGCCGCCGCAACTGGGATTCGATCCTGCGACCTTCGGGTTAGCCATAGGGCACCATCTATAGACTAGTGGCGGGACTATGAGCACTTTTCTTTTGCAGTTTTGGGTGCGTGTTTACAGACGCTCATTATCTGGTATAAAATCTTAGTTGAAAGTAAGGGCTTGTCCAGTCTTGATGTAGCCTCGTGTTCCTTTTGTTGCACTGTAGTTTCTGAGGTACGTTGAACTGTCAGCGCAACCGAATTTCATCCGTTTTAAGACTTTGTATAAGCTCTGCAATGTTCAGCCTGTTTTTATTTTCATTGTTGTCGCGGGTTATATATGTCCATCGTTGGTACCGTGACGTCTGGTTGGAAGCATGACGTGGCACCTGTGAGGCATAGGAAGGCAATGGGTATCGGTGTCGAAGTATCTGCATACCGAGAAGATATATACACAATTCGAACTATAAGGTGGACGTACTGAAGAACTTCACTTATAAACGGCAAAAAGCGGTAATATATTTCAACGTATCTTCATTTATAACTAAAGAAAACTTACAGGAAAATATGGAGTGAGCTTGCGAGCCTGCTACTAACCAATCAAGGACCAGAGAGACACTGTGGACTCCGTGCGGGGAAGAATAGGTGATGAATCTTGTCCAGGTTAGCATGCACTGCGCTTTCGATCAAAATAGTACTGCCGAGTTCAGCCCAGTTCAGTATCCTGGTCAGGTATAGGGTATCGTACCAACCACGTCGTTCTTAAAAGCAACTGCACAATACCAGAAACCACTTAGCCACCGAAGAGGGGCAAAGGGCCGTCGTGTAGACTTGTTTGCAATTGCGATACATCCACTAAGCCTTAGCCGGAGCGGATCTACGCGTTACCGTCGCACAGACAGCCTGCTATAATGTGTGTGTGGGGGGGAAGACGTGCTGAAATATAAACTTCAAGTATACACGTGGGCGCACCCACTTCCAGTTTCGGTTGTCGTCAGCTCATTTATCGTGCACACGGGTTTCACCGTATATGAAATAGCGAAGGGGTGGGAGAACCCACTTTTAGTCACCGTTTCCTGAAAAAAGGTATAGCAACGTCGCCAAAGGTTAGGGTATCAGTCAGTGCTGTGTTTAACGTGCAGCTACCGGCGAGATCAAGGTATGGGCGTGGGGAGGGGGCCCTCAATTTGGTCCATCTCTTCGCAACGCGAGCGCATGTCGCGTCCGCGCGGTGACGGCATCTTCTTTGTCTGCAGCAGCTGAGAGAGAGAGAGAGAGAGAGAGAGAGAGGAGGTTCCTAAGCGAAGCAGCAGCAACCGGGCTTCTGTCGCGGCATGCACGGTAGCCACACTGAGGGGTCTCTTCACGTATGCTGCCGCTACGCGAGGGGACGGGCTCGCAAACAGGTTTTGAGCTCTCTCGGGCCTCCACTTCTTCGTCCACGCCACCGTGGCTGCTGCCGGGCGCATGCCACGGCAGGCTTGCCGGCCGGCCCGGTCCAGAGGCAGCAACAGCGGCGATGGCCGCCGTAGATAGCTCCCGTTGCGTTGTTGCTGTGGCCATGCCTTGACTGTTGCCCGATCTCGCGTCCTGCCGCTGGCCGGCCTGCGCGAAATGGCCGAGACGTGTACTCGCCTTCCTCTCTTATTCAAGCTCTCTCTCTCTTCCTCTTCTCAGCTGTGTCCGCGCGTGCATGGCCCGTGGCTTTGTGGATAAGCTGCGCCACCTTTTCCCCGAGCGTTGCGGACACTGGAAAAGGGTCGCTGTGTTGTCTTCGATACGCCTGCTACCGATCCGTGCTGCGCCGTTCACGATGTTGTGTGTCGTGCTATAGAAGTATCGCGGCGGAGTACATTGCCCAAGGTGTCATACAAGCAATGCGGCTCGACCAGTACTGACGCGGTCACACAACAACTGGCACACGGGGAACACGGAGCCTCGCGCACAGATGTGTACGGCTGCAAAGCTTGTCACCTCTAAAAGAGCCATAGCTGATACAAACCGCGAATTCACGAGGCGGTGGAGGTTTGAGAGCACGCGCCAAATTCGAATGCGCCTAATTCGCTTGGATCGTAATGCTAACAGTATATACCTATTTCTTGTTCGTAAACCTGCTGGTTTTGGGACGTTAAAGCCCACATATCAATCAATTAATCATGTTCATAAACATATTTCGTGTTTTTAGACAGCGGTAGCACCGTCAACATACTGAGACGTCTGTAGGGACGTCGCCGTACAGTGTACTATAAGGGTAGTCGCGGTGTGCAGACTCCGCCCAGCCCAAGGCTCGCCACTGCCCTCCGTGATCACGAGACGAACGGCACAGCAGCTGCGAAACTGCCTCCAAGCACAACGCGACGACGCTCCACGAACGCGCCGTGTATGTCCCATTCAACGTTCCTAACGTGGGATAGGTCTATATAGTGTCAACCGATTGTGGCATCTAGAGAGAATCGGACCGCAACATGGCACGCGTGGCATCTACGTGTTCGCTAACGTTTCATGGAACGAAGACTCGCGGCTCGTTACAGATCGCGGACACCATGGCGTATACAACACGGATGCCACGGACGTCATCGGGAATTTCGTGCGCGAACGGCAACTAGTCTGTATGCGAGTCTCGGAAGCTCCGTCGCACGTTTGATGCGCTCAATAGTCCGGCCTTCTCACGGAATGAACCTCCTCACCTCCCTGGGCCTTTCGTATCCAGCGTCCTGGCTTCTCTCCGCGGGACGCGTTCACAAACGATGCGAAGGACCGCTCGTTACGCAGATAACGTTTCCACCCCTCCACGTCCTTCGAAAACAGTGGCGGTGGTGAGAAAGGAAGTCGTCGGGGGGGCGCACCTTGCTAGCGGGCGGCGTGGCTTTGGCACCGCATTGTTGCGGGCTGCGACAGGTGTACAGCGCGTCGTGCACGCTCGACTGCTCCGCGATGGGAACGACTCAATTTCCTTACTTCCGCGCGCCTTTCCTGGCAACAGCTGGACGCGTCCGCCGATCGGCCGATGTAATATTGTAGAACTTTGCGATACCTCCTCATTTTGTTATAGGAGAAAGCGTGGGATGCCTGCTCAACCACGAAAATTGACCGTCGCTGGTGTCGACGTCAACGCGAGTAATGCGAAACATGAGCACGGCATGATGACGTAAAACGTCGCGAAATTTTATCGCGTCGTCATGACGTCACCGCGTGAAATCGTCGCTCGAAAAGGTGCGCGGATCACGGAGGCTAGGGAAAATCGTGTAAGATGCAGAACCTCTCGGAGGCGAGCGTGCTATAGAATCAATTCCTCGACTGGGAAGAAAAAAAACAAGAACAAAATGACTTTCGTCTTCGAGTTGTCTTAGATGAACGCGCAAAGAACCCTGTGAATTTGCTTTGTTTTCCTTGTTTCTTTTTGTTTCCCTCCTGTACACTGTAGACAATGTAGAAACCTTGCAAGTGATCTTCCCTGCATCCCTCGTGTGGCCGCAGAGCTGTCATAATCTATACACCAAGCGATCAAGCTACCGCCATCGTTCCTACATGACGTTTTCGTCGTCGCATTTCAGAGTGTTCCGATCAGAGCGCCACATTAGCATCGTGGACTGCCATAACGAGATCCGTGTGAGAGCACCTACTTTAACATTTTACAGCCGCACCACTGGTAACGCGATGAGATCTGCGTTTGCCACGTTCGGTGTGGTGCGGCGACAAGAACTGCACGGAAGTTATCGACCGCGAGCTGTTCTGAATTCTACACTTGTACGGCAAGACATGCGCGTGCGGCACGCTGAAAGCTGCGCGCATTGAGCGATTAGATATGTGCAGTCACGCATTGGCGACGCTCGAGCAGTGGCTGTACAAGCAACGACGTACGCTCGCGCCTGCCGCTTTGGTCTGACGTTCATCTTCGCTATGCTTGAACGAACGTCAAACGAGCCGTTCATATCGCATGCACTATCGCGCAAAGACCATCTGGCCTTTTGTTTCTTTTTTTCTCTCTCTCTTCTCATGAACGGTGATATCTTCATCTGCAGAAGACACGCACACCCGACGATAGTGAGAGAACGCGTATCGTTTTCTCATCGAGTCGCATTTTATCTCGTACCTCACCGAGTAAGCTCGATAGCTTTTGGTCATACGAAGGGATCTCTCTTATATGCTTATCTCTCTTAAAAATAAATATTTGAAGGCATACACTGAAGCATGGACAAAAAGTCGTGGGTTCGAATCCTGGTCGCTCGTGGTAGCAGTACTCCCAGCGAGTATGAATGCAAGCTGGACAGACAGAAGAAAAAAAAAGGTTAACCCAGAAGCAAGTCGCCCATTCGTATACTCTGCACGTAAAAAAGTTGGATGGTTGGATTGTGTTGGAAGGAATGCGTAGGTCAACAGTGATTCGAAATCCTATACAGTTTGTAATATTTGATGTTGGAATGTAAACGCCATCAATTATACAAGTTTGAAAGCATGCGTGCAGTCTAGTCCGTATAGAGAGTGATTTAATACCATCTCGTCACATCGCTTGACCTTCACAAGACAATAGCGTAAATTGTTCAAGAAAATCCAGCTTGACAGACGCACTCAATCTTTCTGTTGCTATAGATGTTAGACGCTTGGTATAGTGTGGTGTTGGCCGGACCGCCGTTTGCAGTGCTGGTTACATTACAACTATAAGTAGTGCCTTCTCGAAAATGTGAACTTATTTTTTTGTTTCTTGTTGTTTTTCTCCCACACATCAACTCCCGTCTCGGTCCGGGATAAGACACGTGCAGCAACTCCATGCATACGTAACACCAATAAAAAAAAGAGGCCCGCATACCCGAAACGTCATCATTTTTCTCAAAACGAACCGCAGCTTGCTTAATTTACAGCCGCTCGCCTTTTCATCTGTCTGATTCACTTCATTTGAGCCTCGCTGCAACGAAGTGTTACGACTTCTCATCAAAAAGCCGACCGCATTCCAGCGCTTCAAACGTGCCCACGTCAGTACGCTATACCCACACATGAAGCTAGAAAAAAAAAAAAACATACAACACACGTGTCTATGCAGCCTTCGGGTGTGTATCCATATTTTTTTGCAGGTGTTGGACCCCCAAAATATGGCTCCTAGATAGAACGTGACGATAGGCGACCTTGAACTGTCAAGCCCTGCCGCTAGGTGGCGTCGCGCTCTGTGCAGGGGGCGCTCTTATTACTTTTCTCTCGCGTCCCGCCGGCCCCCCTCAACGTCTCGTCGCCGCTGCAACAGTATCTGTGCACGGCAATGGAAAACCTGCAGTTCCCCGCATAAAACCTGTCCCAGTTGCATTGAGCGGCCATAAAATATGTATACCCGTTTTGCAGGGCGGTATACATATAACGCGGAGAGGGGGGGGCAAAGCGTTTGAACCGTGCGAGTGAGTCGTTATTCACTTCATTGTTCTATGCATTCGGAGGCCCGAGTAGCCGTTTTTCTTTAGTGATTCGTCCACTCCGCCCATGTAGAGTGTTTTCGTTTGCTTGTTTGTTTTCGACCGCGGCGCCACGCCTCTCTCTTGAATGGTATGCATGTAGAAAATGCGAGGGAGACGGCGGTGCTCTCCATTACTGCTAACAATGGCTTTCGCATGGATTATCCGTTCTCGCGTGTTTGTTTGCCTGTTTGTTTTCTCCCCGGAGAATCGACTGTGTTACTCTCGGCAGAATGTATCAGACGGGCGGGGCTGTTTCCTCATCTGCTTCGTCTTTCAATGACAGCGTCTGCGATTGCGAGCGTTTACGCGTTTTCCTTACAGGGCGAACCGTTTCGATTTGCCGCGAAACGTATCGATGCTCCACCGTTTGTCTCGGTCTTTCTGTCTTTTTTTTTCTGTTTGGCCGCGAAATTGTAACTTGGATTGTTGGTCCGCCAGCGCTATCGTGTGTGTATATAGATTGACCTACTGGCCTCTTCTCTTTCGTTTGTTTAGTTTATTACTTTCGCTTTGTTTCGTCGCTATGTTTTGAAGCTTATTCTATGTCGAATGCGTTTACGCTGCATATGCCTGTAACTATCGAATAAGGGAAAAAAAATACGGGGTACGTGCCGATGATAACGTCATCCCAACTGCCCGCTTACGGACGATCGACGAAAAATGCATCCCACAGGACGACTTGCGTAAGAAATTGCGGCTTCTGCGCTTGTACAGTGACGGTACATTCATTCATTCATTCATTCATTCATTCATTCATTCATTCATATGCATAGTTGTTGCTTTAGAATAGACAGTGTGAAATCGTACTTTTTAAAGAGTGTTAAACTATAGAGAAACGCAAATAAAAGGCAGAGAGATAGATAGAGAGAGAAGATACACGAAAGGCAAGGAAGGTTAACTAGACCATGTCCTGTTTACTAAACCCTACGCGTCGGACAGGGGAGCAATTCTGGTTAATTGAGAGGAGAGAAAACACGAGTGTATACACAAGTGAAGATAGCCCCGCCGCGATGGTCTAGTGGCTAAGGTACTCGGCTGCTGACCCGCAGGTCGCGGGTTCGATTCCCGGCTGCGGCGGCTGCATTTCCGATGGAGGCGGAATTGTTGTAGGCCCGTGTACTCAGATTTTGGTGCACGTTAAAGAACCCCAGGTGGTCAAAATTT